TTTAAAATTTTCTCATGTTTTTTTCTTTTCCCTATTTTATTTCCCCTACCCTTCCCATTTCTCCTACACCTTTAGCCCTTGTCTTCCTATTTCACATTGTCAATTATCTCATTAGGATCTTATGTATCATTATAGTTTCTCACACAAGAGAAACTATTCGGTATTTATACATATGTGACTTATTTATTTTACTTAGTAGTATATCCTCAATACATATCCATTTTCCTATGAATGACTCTAATTTCTCATTCTTTATGGCTGAGTAGTATTCCATTTCATAGAAAAACCACATCTTCTTTATCCAGTCTCCAACTGATGGCCAAATGGGCTTTTCCCAAGTTTTAGCTAATCCAAACTGTGCTGCTATAAACACAGGTGCGCATATATCAGAGGGAAGGCTGGGTCAAATGAAACCTCCTGTCCAAGCTCTTGCAGTATCTCCATATTGATTTCCATAGTGATTGCACCAGTCTGCACTCCCACCAACAATGGAGAAGGGTTCCTTTCTCCCCAAAACCCCACCACCTTTTGTTACTGTTTGATTTCTTGATAGCAGCCATTCTTTGTGGGGTGAGGTGGAATCTCAGTGTTATTTTCATCTGCATCTCTTGAATGACCAGTGATGTGTAACACTTTTTCATATATTTGCTGGATGCTTTTACTTCTTTGAGAAACATCTGTTCATTTCAGATGCCCATTTTTGAATCGGGTCTTTATATTTGGGGGGGTGATTTTTGTGAGTTCTTTATATATTCTCGATAATAGTTCTTTGTCTGAAGAGGAGTTGGTAAAATTTTTTTCCCACATTGTAGATATTCTTTTAGTTCTGCTGATGGTTTCTTTTGTAGTGCAGAAGCTTTTTAATAAGATGAGATCCCAGTTATTGATTCTTTCTGCTAGTTCCAATGCTAGTGAGGGTTTGTTTTGATTCTTATTACAATTTCTCACACCAGAGAAACTATTCACTATTTGCACGTGTGTGTCCTATTTATTTCACTTAATAGTATGACCTCAATGTGCATTCAACTTAACTATAAATGTCTCTAGCTTTTTATTCTTTATGGCTGAGTAGTACTTCATTTTATTAAAAAATCCCACATTTTCCTTATCCAGTTTCCAAGTTTTAGCTATTTCAAACTGTGCCACTCTAAACGTGTGTATGCATCTATCACTGTAGTATCATACTTTTAATTATTTTTTGAAGATACCCAGCAAAGGAATATCCCTAGCTAGATCAAATGGGACCTCTAATTCTAGTTGTTTGAGATATCTCTATATTAATTTCTACAGTGGTTTCACAGTCTGAACTCAACCACAAGGGAGAATTGTTCCTTTCTCCCCATAACCCTTCTAGCATTGTTATTGATTGATTTCTTGATAGCAGCCATTCTTTCTCCAGTAAGGTGGAATCTCAGTGTCATTTTCATCTGCATCTCTTGAATGACCAGTGAGTGATGTTGAACATTTCTTCATATGTTGATTTGCTGCTTTTACTTGTTTCTCTGAGAAAAGTATGTTCATTTCAGATGTCCATTTTTGAATCAGGTCTTTGAATTTGGGGGTCAGAGTTTTTGAGTTCTTTATATATTCTACATAGTAGACCTTTTTCTCAGGAACAGCTAGTAATTTTTTTTTGCTACACTGTAGGTTATATCTTAGATCTGTTGATGATTTCTCTTGCAGTGCAGAAGCTTTTTAGTAAGATGAGATCCCAGTTATTGTTACTTTATGCTGGTTCCCATGCTACTGAGGATTTGTTCATAATGTTTTTTTTCTATGCCAATGTCTTTGAGAGGTCTACCTAACTTATCTTCCAGCAAGTTTAGTGTTCTGTTTCAATATTTATTTGTTTAATCTTCAAATTAAGTTTAGAACATGGTGAAAGATAGGGGTCAAGTGTTAACCTTTGGCAGGAAGAGACTATCTTTCCTCCACTGAGGATGCTTTGCTCCTTTGTGAAAGATGTGGTAGCTGAGTATGTTTGGAGTTGCTTCTGCATCTTCTAATCTATTCCATTGATCCTTGGGTGTGTTTCTTTGCCAGTATCCTGCTGTTTTTAATCATAGTGTCTGTATAGTATAGCTTCATGTTGGGGATTGTGATATCCCATGCCATTTTTCTCTTGCCTAGAATGGCTTTTGCTATTCTAGGTCTCTTCTGATTCAAAATGAATTTTTGGACTATTTTCTGTAGTTCTATGAAATATTCTGTTGGGATTTCAATTGGAATTACATTGAATTTATATAGCAGTTTTGGGAGTATGGACGTTTTCACTATGTTGGTTCCTCTTCCCCAGGAACAAGGCTTTCAATTTTCTTATATGCTGTTTGATCTCTCTTTTCAGAGTGTTGTAGTTTTCTGTGTAGAGGTCTTTTACTTCCTTCATTACATTGATTCCTAGGTTTCTCATTTTTTGGATGAAATTGTGAAAGGAATTATTTCCTAATGTCTCTCTCAGTGAATCTGTTATTTGTGTACAGCAAAGCTATTGATTTTTGAGTGTTGACATTTTATCCAGCTACTTTACTGAATCTTTCAATTAAGTCTAGAAGTCTTTTGATAGAGTTTTTTGGGACTTCTATGTAGAGTATCATATCATCATCACATAATGACAGTTTAACTTCTTTCTTTCCTATCTTTATTGCTTTGATTTCTTTCTTATGTCTAATTGATGTGGCTAATGTTTCCAGACCTACACTGAACAGGAGTGGTGATAGTGGATATCCATGTCTTTTTCCTGATTTTACCATGAAAGCTTTGAATTTTTGACTATTTACTATGATGTTGGCAGTTGTTTTTCATAGATAGCCTTTATCAGATTGAGATAAAGACCATTTATTCCAATTTTCTGTAGGGTTTTTTAAAATCATGAGTGGCTACTGGATTTTGTTGAATGCATTTTCTGCATCTGTTGAGATGATCATATGGTTTTTGTCCTTGAGTCTGTTAACATAGTGTGTTCTATTTATTGATTTACATATGTTGAACCACTCTTGCATTCCCTGGAACAAATCCAACTTGGTCAGGGTGTATGATGTTCTTGATGACCCTCTGTATTCTGTTTGCCAGTATCTTATTCAGGATTTTTGCATAGATGTTCATTAAGGAGAATGGCCTGTAGTTCTCTTTTTTGATTGGATCTTTCTCTGCTTTTGGAATCAAAGTAACATTTGTTTCCAGGGATAAATTTGCAAGTATTCTTCCTTTTCAATTTCACTGAAGAGTTTAAAGAGTAGTGACAATATTTTTTCCCCATATCCCTGCCCTCCCTTCACCACCTCCTCCCTTCCCTATTTACAAATACTTCATTTCCATTTTTTCATTTTCTCATATTTTTTTTCTTTTCCCTTATTTCCTTTCCCAAACCCTCCCACTTTCCCTACACCTTAAGCCCTTTTCTTCCTATTTTACATCTTCACTTATACAATTAGGATCTTATGTACAATTATAGACTTTCACACAAGAGAGAATATTAGGTATTTACATATGCATGGCTTATTTACTTCATTTAAGATGTAACTGTGCTATATACCTAAAATGTACCAATAAACCCAATGAGAGAAAAAAAAAAGAGTAGTGACAATAGTTCTTTTCTAACTGTCCTGTACAATTCAGCAGTAAAGCCATTAGGACTTGGGATTTTCTTTTTTGGTAAAGTTTCAATTACATTTTCAATTTCACTGATTGTAATTGGAGTATTTAGACTTCTTATCTGTTCTTTGTTTAACGTTGGTAATTCATATGTATCTAGGACTCTGTCTATTTCTTCTGTTTTCCATTTTATTAGAGTACAGTTTCGCAAAGTAGGTATTAATGATCCTCTGGTTTTCTGCTGGATCTGTTGTGACTTCACCTTGTTCATTCCTAATTGCATGATTTGAGCCTTTTCTGTCCTCCTTTTGATAAGGTTGGCTGAGGGTTTATTGAATTAGTTTATTATTAAAAAAAACCAATTCTTCAATTCATTGATTTTTTTATATTATTCTCTTAGTCTTCGTTGCATTGATTTCTGCTCTGATTTTATAATTTCCCCTTTTGTATGAGCTTTGGGTTTGTCTTGCTCTTCTTTTTCTAGAAGCTTAAGGTTCAGCATTGGGTTGTTTATTAGAAATAGCCCTGTTTTCATAGTATGAGCATTTTTATTTAAATATGTTTTATGAGCTAGTATGTGGTCTGTTTTTGAGAATGACCCATATGCATCTGAAAAGAATGTATATTCCGATTTTGTGGGGTGGAACACTCCATAGACATCTATTAAGTTCATTTGTTCAAAAGCTTGGTTCATTTCTAGAATGTTGTTGCTGATTTTTTTGTCTAGATGACCTGTCTATTTGTGACATTGGTTATTTAGGTCCCCTATTACAATTGTATTAGTGCTTATTTGTTTTTTCATGTCCCTTAATATTGTTTTGCATAATTAGGGGCCTTAGTATTTGGTGCATATGTCTTTATGATTGTCATCTCTTCTTTTTGAGTTGTTTCCTTTACAAGGATGTAGTGGCCCTCTTTGTCTCTCTTAGTTACTTTTGGCTTAAAATTTACTTTGTCCACAATTAGGATAGCTACTCCTGCATTTTTTATGGCCACTGTCACATGGAACTGTTTTCCATCCTCTTACTTTCAGTGTATGCATTCATTTGTGGAACTAAATGGATTTCTTTTATGTGGCATTTTGTTTCTTAATACATTCTGTCAATCTATTTGTTTGATTGGTGAACTGAGGCCATTAACTCTGATGATTATAACTGACTTGTGTTATCTTATCTTTGTCATGTTATTTTCCTATTGTTAACTCTATTATTTTTTATTTTTCCTGCATCTCCCTTTAATTTCTTGCCTTGCCTAATTGATTTGTTCTTTTGGGCCTTATGAATTTGTGACTTTCATTGTCTTTTTCCAGGATATTGTTTAGGATTGTTTGGAATGCTGGTATGGTACTCATGAAGTTTATCAGGTGTTCTTTGTTGTGGAAGTATCTTATATGGCTATCAATTTTTTAAAAAAATATGGAACAATGCACAAATTTGCATGTCATCCTTGTTCTAGGGCCATGGTAGTCTTCTCTGTATCATTCCAGTATTTTTTTAGTATATGTGCTGCAGAAGTGAACACTTCCCATCAATTTTGAAAGATAGCTTTGCAGGATACATTAGTTTAGGTTGGAGGTTGTTTTCTCTTAGGGCTTGAAATACCTCACTCTAGCCTTGACTTGAGGGTTTGTGTTGAAAAGATTACTGTGACTCTCATGAGCTTTCCTTTTATGTGATTTGTTTGCTTTCCCCAACTGCTTGTGTATTTTGTTCTCCTGTTGAGTTTCTGGGATCTTGATTATTACGTGTATGTGTAAATGTTTTTTGATCATGGCTAGTTGGAGTCTTATATGCCTTGCTTATCTCTATGTCAAATTCTTTTGCTCTGTTTGGGACATTTTCTGTCATTAATAATGTGAACATTTTTTTTCTCATTCAGTTTATTGGTACTTTTTAGGCATACCGCACAGTTACATTCATCATTGGGATCTTGTACTATTAAATGACAGGTCTTGGTTTTCATTTCCCCCCATAACCCTGCCCTCCCTTCACCTCCTCCTCCCATCCCTATTTGCGAAAACTTTTTTCTCCCATTTTCTCGTATTTTTTCTTTTTCTTTATTTCCTTTCCCCTACCCTTTCCATTTTCCCTAAACCTTTAGCCCCTTTCTTCCTATTTCACATTATCACTTATACCATTTGGATCTTATTTACACTTTTAATTTTTCACTCCAGAGAAACTATTTGGTACTTACACATGTATGACTTATTTATTTCACTTGAGTATAACCTCAATATGCATCCATTTTCCTGTGAATGAATGTAATTTCTCATTCTTTATGGCTGAGTTTTATTCCATTTTATGGAAAACCACATCTTGTTTATCCAGGCTCCAACTGATGGGAAAATGGGCTGTTTCCAAGTTTTAGCTATTACAAACTGTGCTGCTATAAACATAGGTGTGCATATATTACTGTGGTATGATTTAAAAAATCTTTTTGAAAAGATACCCAGCAGAGGGATGGCTGGGTCAAATGGACCCTTTAATCCCAGTTATTTGAGGTATTTCCATATTGATTTCCATAGTGATTGCACCAGTCTGCACTCCCACCAACAATGGAAAAGGGTTCCTTTCTCCCTACAACCCAGGCAACATTTGTTATTGGTTGATTTCTTGATAGCAGCCATTCTTTTGGGGGTGAGGTAGAATTTCAGTGTTGTTTTCATCTGCATCTCTCAAATGACCAGTGATGTGGAACATTTTTTTATATATTTACTTGCTGCTTTTTCTTCTTTGTCTGAGAAATGTCTGTCCATTGAATTGGGTCTTTATATTTGGGTGGCCAGATTTTTTTGAGTTCTTTTTGTATTCTAGATAATAGTCCTTTGAGGAGAAGCTGATAAAAATTTTCCCAATTTATAGGTTGTCTCTTAGTTCTGTTGGTGGTTTCTTTTGAAGTAAAGAAGTTTTTTAATAAGATGATATCCCAGTTGTTGATTCTTTCTGCTAGTTCCCATGCTACTGAGGCTTTTTTCATAAAATCTTTTCCTATGCCAATGTCTTTCAGAGTTCTGCCTAAATTATCTTCCAGCAAATTTAGTGCTGCTGTTTTAATATTTAGATCTTTCATCCACTTGGATTTTAATTTAGTGCATGGTGAAATATAAGGGTCCAGTTTTAATCTGTGGCAGATTGAAATCCACTTTTTCCAGCACCATTTATTAAAGAGGCAATCCTTCCTACACTGAGGATGGTCAGCTCCTTTGTCAAACATGAGGTAGCTGAGTACATCTGGAGTTGTTTTTGTGTCTTCCAATCTGTTCCACTGATCCTCAGATCTGTTTCTTTGCCACTACCATGCTGTTTTTATCACAGTGGCTTTGTAGTATAGTTTCAAATTGGGAATTGTTATACCTGTTGCCTAGGATGGCTTTTGCTATTCTACATCTATTGTGGTTCCAAATGAATGTTTGAATTCTTTTTTCTAGTTCTGTGAGATATAGTGTTGGAATTTCAATTGGCATTGCATTGAATCTGTATAGCAGTTTTGGTAGTATGGCCATTTTCACTATGTTGATTCTTCCTACCCAGGAGCAGGGGATATCTTTCCATTTTATATCCTCTTCAATTTCTTTTTTCAGAGTGCTATAGTTTTCAGTGTGGAGATCTTTGGCTTCTTTTGTTAGATTGATTCCTAGACACTTCATTTTTTGGGATGCTATTGTAAAAGGAATTGTTTCCCTTATTTCTCTCTTGGTGAGTCTGTTATTTGTGTACAAGAAGGCAGTTGTTTTTTGGGTATTCACCTTGTATCCAGCTACTCTACTGAATCCATCAATTAAGTCTGCAAGTCTTTTGGTGGAGTTTTGGGTCTTCAATGTAGTAGAGTATCATATCATCATCAAGTAATTACAGTTTAACTTCTTCCTTTCCTATCTCTATTGCTTTAATTTATTTTTCTTGTCTAATTGCTATGGCCAATGTTTCCCAAACTATATTGAAGAGGAGTGATGATAGTGGGCATCCTTGTCTTTTTCCTGATTTTAACGTGAAAGTTTTCAGTTTTTGGCCATTTAATATGATGTTGACTGTTGGTTTTTCATAGATAGCCTTTATTAAGTTGAAATATAGACCATGCATTCCAATTTTTTACAGGGTTTTTATCATGAATGGGCGTTGAATTTTGTCAAATGCTTTTTCTGCATCTATTGAGAGGCTCATGTGGTTTTTGTCCTTGACTTTGTTAATGTAGTGTATTACATTTATTGATTTACGTATGTTGAACCACCCTTGCATGCCTGGAATAAATCCGACTTGGTCAGGATGGACAATCTTCTTGATAATCCTCTGTATTCTCTATGCTAGTATCTTGTTAAGGATTTTTGCATCTATATTCATTAAGGAGATTGGCGTGTAGTTCCCTTTTTTAGTTGCATCTTTCCCTGGTTTGGGAATCAAAGTGATATTTGCTTCCAAGAATGAATTTGGAAGTATAGCTTCCCTTTCAATTTCATTGAAAACTTTGAAGAGTAATGGCAGTGGATCTTTTCTAAATGTCTTGTGAAATTCAGCAGTGAATCCAGCAGGACCTGGGCTTTTCTTTGTTGCTAAATTTTTAATTACATTTTCAATTTCACTGGTTGTAATTGGGATGTTTAAAATGTTTTTATCTGCTTTGTTCAACTTTGATAATTCATAAGTATCTAGAAATCTGTCCATTTATTCTGTGTTTTCCATTTTATTAGAGTACGGTTTCTCAAAGTAGTTATTAACGATCCTCTGGATTTCTGTTGGATCTTTTGTGACTTCACCTTTTTCATTCCCGATTGCATGGATCTGTGCCTTTTCTTTCCTTTTTTTGGTAAGGTTAGTTAAGGGTTTATCACTTTTATTTATTCTTTCATAAAAGCAACTCTTCTATTCATTTATTTTTTGTATCACTTTCTTAGTTTCCATGGCATTGATTTCTGCTCCAATCTTTTTAATTTCCTCTCTTGATTGAGCTTTGGATTTTTCTTGCTCTTGTTTTTCTACGAGTCTAAGATTCATCCTTAGGTTGTTCATTTGAGCTTGCTCTGTTTCCCTGTATGGGCATTCAGTGCTATGAATTTTCCATGTAGAACTGCTTTCATTGTGTCCCATAGATCCTGTGTGTTGTGTTGGCATTTTCTTTTTTTTGTAAAAACTCTGTGAGTTCTTCTTTAATTTCCTCTGTGATCCATTCATTGCTCAGGAGAGTGTTGTTCCATTTCCATGTGTTTGTGAAAGTCCTCCAGTTTCTTATGCTATTGATCTCCAGCTTTATTGCACTGTAATCTGATAATATACAGGAAATAAATTAGATTCTTTTGCATTTATTTAAACCTGTTCTGTGAGCTAGTATGTGATCTATCTTGAAGAATGACCCAAGTACAGTTGAAAAGAATGTCTGTTCTGATTTTGTGGGATGGAACACTGTATAGACATCTAGTAAGTCCATGTGTTCAAAAGCTTGGTTCAATTCTAGTATTTCATTGTTGAATTTTTGCCTAGATGATCTGTCTATTTGTGGTAATGGGGTATTTAGATCCCCCACTACAATTGTATTAGTGCTTATTTGGTTTTTCATGTTACTTAATATTTGTTTTATATAGCTGGGGGTATTTATATTTGGTGCATATATGTTTATGATTGTCATCTCTTCTTCTTGAATTGTTCCCTTACAAGAATTTAGTGGCTTTCTTTGTCTCTCCTGATCAGTTTTGGTTTGAAATTTACTTTGTCTGCGAATAAGATCAGTACCCCTGCTTTTTTCTGGGCTCCTGTCACATTGAGAGTTATTTTCTGCCCTTTCATTTTCAGTCTATGTGCTTGTTTTTGCACTAGGTATGTTTCTTGTGTACAACATGTTGTTGGATTTTGCTTCTTAATCCATTCTGTCAGTCTATTTCTCTTCATTTGTGAATTGAGGTCATTGACATTGATGGTTATAACTGACATGTACTGACTTCTTATTGTCATGCTATTGTCCTTTTGCTGACTCTTTTTAGTTTTTTGCCCTCTTATTTTACTTTCTTGCCTTGACTATTTGATTTGCTCTGTTGGGCCTCATGGTGTTGTGATCTTCATTGTCTTTCTGTAGGATATTGTTTAGAATTGCTTGTAGAGGTGGTTTGATATTCATGAAGTTTCTCAGGTGTTCTTTGTTATGGAAGTGTCTTATTATGTCATCCATTTTGAAAGAGTTTTGCAGGATACATCAGTCTAGATTGGAGGTTGTCTTCTTTTAGGACTTGAAATACCTTAATACCTTACTCCAGGCTCTCCTTGACATGAGTGTTTGTGTTGAAAAATCTGCTGTGATTCTGATGGGTTTTCCTTTGCGTGTGATTTGTTTCTTTTCTCTTACTGTTTGTAGTATTTTGTTCTGTTTGGTTTCTGAGATCTTGATTATTCTATGTCTAGGTGTAGATTTTTCTTTTTCATCACGGCTAGTTGGAGTCCTATATACCTCACTCATCTGTATGTCAAATTCTTCCCCTCTGTTTGGGAAGTTTTCTGTCATTAATTCTGTGAACATGTTTTTAAAGTCATTTTTATTTT